GAAAAGCCAAAAGATGAGAACACCCCTGGTGAAACAGCAGTACCATTGGCTGAAACAGAGAAAAAGATGGAGGAGAAACAAAGTGAACCACTTGTAGTTGAAGAGGTCGTGAAAGCTGAGGTGGAAGAGAAGCCAAAAGCTGAGGAGCCCCCAAGTTTGCCTATTACATCAGCTGAACCGGAAGAAAAGATTGAGGATAAGCACATTGAGCCTCCTGCAATTGAAGAGATTAAGAAACCTGATGATATCCCTGCTCTGGATATTTCTTCCAAAGATAATCCGGAATTAGCAAAAGAATATGTTCCCAAAGAAGAAACTGTTAATGTTGCAGGAGTAGTGGATAACATTCTAAAACGTGAACCAGAAGGGCACTCAGGGATAAAAAATTTGGAAACGCCACAAGAAGAACCCCCAAAAGGATCCGAGGAGGAGAAGCTGGTAGAGGAGTCAAAGGAAATTGATATTCCTGCATCAGTGGTTGAAGCTGTGGAGGCACAAGCGGAGAAAGTTGAAGAGATACCAAAAGATATTGATATTCCTGAATCAGTGAGTGGCGCTACTAAAACAATAGCTGAGGAAGTGACGGAGTTGCCAGAGAAAATTGATATACCTCAAGCAGCCACTGAGGCTATTGAGACTAAAGAGGAGGAAGTGAAAGAGTCACCTGAGAAAATTGATGTTCTTGAAGCAGTAAAGGAGGGTGTTGAGACTAAAGTGGAGCAAGTAGAGGAGTTACCAAAGAAAATTGATATTTCAGAGCCAGTAAATGGGGCTATTGAGACGAAAGTGGAGCAAGTAGAAGAGGCAGCTGCGGCTGATGTCGTGGAAGTTTCAGCAGCAGAGCCCGGGAAAGAAGAAATTTCGATTCCAGAACCGGTAGCAGAGGACAGACCAGAAGAAAAACCTGTAGCTACAGAACAAACTGGGAAAGAAGCTGCAACGGCTGAGCCTGAAGAGAAAATAGAGGTGGAAACAATAAAAGACAGAGAAATTTCAACTGATGAGATTGATGAAACTAAGTTGGCAGAGGGAGTAGAATCTACTGCCACTGAGAGTTCAGAACTGATTGCTTCAACCCCTGTGGCAGCTCAAGTTGAAACAGAAAATGTAGAAGTTCCTCCAACTGAAGTTGCAGAAAAGGCTGAGGACAAAGAAAAAGAATTGACTGCCAAACCTCAAAAGCAAGTGACATTGGAAGAATTGCTGGAAAAGGTTGAGAAGGAAACTGAAACCAAGGATTTGAAAACTGAAGAAAAGGAAGAGAAAAGCGGTTTCTCTGAGGAATCATCTCAGCTGGAAGCGAAGGAAGTTGATGCTGTTACCAGTTCTATTCCTCCTCCTGAAGATTCTAGTAAATCTGTAGAACAAATGCCTAGAGATATTGAACTTCCTGCTGAAATTGGGACCAAAATAGAAGAAACCGTGGCTTCAGCTGAAACCGAAAAGGATGCAGTAGTAGACAAAAATGTGGATGTCGAAAAAGAACCGGAGAAGGCTGAGGCTGAGACAGAAACAAAAGCAGAGGAAGCCGCAGAGGCTGTTAAAGAGACTGAAAAAACTGATGTTGCAGTTGAAGAGTCCAAAGAAGTTGGTGACTTGAAAACAACACAAGAAGCTCCTAAAGAAGTGGTTCCAGGGAAGGCAACCCAAAAATCAACTAACATACTTTCTAAGGTGAAGCATTCTCTTGTTAAGGCAAAGAAAGCAATCATTGGAAAATCACCAGCAAAAACACCAGCAGCACCACCCCCTGAAACAAAAGAGGAGGTTAAAAGCTGAGTAATGTCCTGGCTACTATAGAGATCAAGTTAAAGAAACAATATAGAGACCAAGGAAGGGGTAATTTTATTGAGGGTGTGATATATTTTGTTTTCCAGATTGGTTTGCCTGCATTAGTGGATTTTTTTGCTACCGTGGTATGATACCCCGCTTTGCTACATACCAAATAGTAGGAAGATTGTATTTTTGGTTTTTTTTGCTTTTCTTCTCTTTTCCTACCTGTTCATTGAGTTGTGTGTATTTGCTTAATTGTGGGTGAATTTGATTGTATTCAGTTTGTTGAGGGAGCGTATAGATTTGTTACATTGTGAATATTATTTTACTCATCAAAGCTGTCATTAGTGTTTTTTAGTGTTTATCTGCTTCTTGTTTCAAGAAACCAGAATATGTTATTTTGCTTGAGGAGCTTTGTTGCTACCTATTGTCATGTATTGGCTGACAGGGAAATTTTATCTGCTTCAGTAACTGCCTGAAGTAGTCCACATCCTTCTTGGCTCTTAAGATTTAATCAAATAGCTCTTTGTTGCTCCTGTCAATATCATCAGGTTTGCCAAGACTTGCTAACCGGAAATAAAAAGGTAGGAATTCCTGCTCCATGGTGTTTTATACAGAGAACATTGGCTAGTAGTAGGCCTATATGCTTAACATTACATGATTCTAGACTTTCTGCAGCAGTTGATGATATTTGTGCATGCCAAAACATGCAAGATTTGTCCATCTAGAAATACCAGTTTGACAAGGCACTTGTTGCTTTTAAGCTAGGGTTCTTTGGCCTTAGCCAAGATGTGGCCACAGGCCAAGCAGATATTTCACAAGACTAGCTGTTTGCATAGCAATTGTATTCCTTTACTTTCAGAAAAGCGGAGCTGGGCAGCTCCGTATGGAGGATACACAGAAACGGTCCAAAAGTAGTAGGGACAAATGACTGATGCCATATTACTCCATTACATAACAATGACAGATGATATACATCATTATCACCCAGGAATCTTTTCAAAGCAAGAGGCATTATTATTATTCTTCTCTAAAGCTGGGCAAAATTATTCATGAACCTCCAAGGTTTGGAAAAATTACACTGACCTTTCTACCTCTGTGGGGGTAATCAAGATTGTTTGCAACAATTGCTAAAAGATGAGGATTCTAGAGAAGCCACTTAGGGTGCATACATCTAAATACGTGGTTGAGATTTTTATTTAATGTTGGAAATTAATTCATGTAGAACTTTTTGAATTCAACATGTTTGATAATGAAAATGGCTTATCACTTAATATATTAAGCACCGTTTAATTTGTATGCATAATTTTAAGTGAAAATTTTTGATTGAATTGACAACGCATACTACATCTCTCGCACACATAACGCGCTCTCAAATATACTCTCACACAAAATACACATTTGCTCTCTTTTTATTCTACACGTACTCCCACACACACAAATATATACAATTCAACACTATCTCTCGGATATTTCATTATTTACTCCCTCTCCCGTATGCGTATTTTTTCTTTCTCTCCAAACACACAAATACAGACGCTTTTTAGGTATAAAATTATAATTATCAATTTAGCTACTTAACACTTTCAACGCTAAATCTTTATATTTCAGATTTAAGTTTTATCAAACGAGTTTTTATCTTTAAATTTTTCGCTTTGTTCTTTTATTTTCTTTAACACTGAGATACTCATTTGTTGGATTGAGAATCCCAAATAGAGATGTCACGGATTGATTTATGATCTTTAACAAAAACTACAACCATCTCCAAGATTCAATTTGGCTAGTAGGGACATTGATTAGCCGACCCTGAGATCCAAGTTTGACTCCTTAAGTAGTGTTCTTCTTCTCCTTCTTCCTTGTAAGACTTACCATCATTTTTTTAAAATTTTTAAAAAAAGTATATGTAAACATCTCAAACTTTTATGTCTAGGCCTTTATAAATCCTATATTTTTTGCAAATCTGATCCACGTTTAATGTAATGTGAAAGTGATTCAAGGCTTGTGGCTTCAATTTTTTTTTTTTTTTTTAACTAAAGGTGATTGATTAATTGTAGTTCAACAAATTCTTGGATACATTTCCATACCTCAAAGGGATAATTCCGACTACCAAGTTAAAACAAATAAACTATTTACTATCGACATCACACGAGGAGGATTACTTTTTTTATCTTTTTTTTTTTTTTGTCAAAAGGTCATCATATACGAGGAGGATTACAGGCACTAGCAATTCAGATTCATGTCAAATCAAGAAGAGAGCGATGAATTGCCGGCCATCAAGAGAAGAAGTTCCCAGACTCCACAGCTGTTGCTCCTTTTTTACTTACGTGGCTTGCCAAGTTTTCAGTTTTACCCAAGTATAATGCCACATAACCGTAGACTCACGCATCATGCCACATCAAAAAAAATTGTAGTAGAAAGTACTCGTTGATTGATACTTTGGGTGATGGGCGGAAGAGGGGCAGGAACGGTTGCATCCTCACAATTCACGATCAAGATTTGGTCAAAAAAAATTATACGGTTCAAATTTCATATTATATCTCATTTTTTAACAACATGTATGGGACTCATAAAACTTTATTTTTAAATTATACGTTGTGAAAAGTAAGTTACACCATGTGTAAACAGAATTACACGGTGTGCAAAATGCATTGCCCCTGGTCGGCTAGTAAGAACTTGACTAAAACATTTTGGATCTGTAATTTATGCTCAAAAGTTACACAGAGTGAAAATTTCTGAAACGCACATTTAGCGTTGAAATGTACAGACAACAATAAAGCTTGATTCGACAAAAATTGGTAATGTTAGCATATTAAATCATCGCTCAAAAGTAGAAATTTTCGTATTATTATTTAGCAGTATTTTAATTAAGTTAAAATTTTAGCAATTCTATCTGAATCAAATTATGATAGTTTTATTATTAGGAAATCAGTGTTTTACTTCTAGAAAATTTCTTATGATTGTAAAATTTATTTACCAAGTCATCTAATCTATAAATAGGAAATTTTATTATTGCTGTCAGTCGAAAAGAGAGATATTTGATAGCTTTATTATTATGGTGAGTAATTATTATATTATTGTTGGTATCATTCTTCTCCTACAATGCATATTTGTATGTGTGTTTGTAAATTGCCTCTACATATATATTGAATTTTTTGAAGTTTATCTCTCATAAATTTTTGGCGAACTTCTTTCTTTTTTTCTTTTTTTTTGGGAATGTACGGGTAACATGTCCAATAACCATTTTCATTGCATTTCTCAAGATCAAAACCAGCTGCTCTTGCAGCAGAGTTTACGTTAAAAAAAAGTGTACATATGAAGCAAAAAGTTCTCTTCAAAACAAAAACCTGTGCAGCTTGTAATATACAGTCCTAATATTAAAAATCAGACAAGTCAATAACGTAAAACGATTCTTTGGTGTCTACAACTCGGCAAAACCCTCGTCTTCATATAAGTCACCGATGACTCTTTCTCAGGACAGAAATGGCACTAACTGGAAGAATTCCATGTGGCTGCTGGAACCTTAGTCATCACTGTTAATCACCCCTTGCACATCCCATTACTCCCTGCACATGAAACGGGGTGTTTTTAGCCTCACTATCCAATGATTTTAGCGAAGAACTTCAGTTCACAGACATGACTTGTCGCGTAAACATCTGGAGGAAAGAAAGAGATGAGAGGCAGGGGGGCATCTGTATCCAGAATACCAGTTGTTAAGTCATAAGAAAATGATATACTCACCTTTTTCTTTGTCACATACGAGATCAGTTGTACTCGCCATGTTAATGGAGGCCGCAGCACAAACATCAGGTGCCTGATCATCCTTTGAAGTCATGGCAGACTGATCAAATTCCTTATTTGTTGCCTGCAGCTGACGAGATAAGAGAGTTGATGAATAGGCGCAACGGATGCTAATCAAATCAGCTAGAAAGCTGATCAACAGTCTATCCAGATTCTGAACAAACATAGAACTTGAACCCTTTTTTTTCTTTTTTGGAAAAAAAAAAAAACTCAAATCAGAAGTTCTGACTGAAAGAGACAAGGAAGAACAAAGCAGAAGGAATGAATGAGAGTTAAGAGTGAATATTTATTTGAAAAATGAAAAGATCGGTTTTGCTTCGAAAAGAAATTAACAAGAAGTATGAAGTTTGCCTCTGAAATTGCCAAGAAAAAAGAAAGAAGAAAATCAAGCACAAACAAATAAATTTACGAAGGACAAAAGGGGGGAATAGAAAAGAAATCTAGAAATCGATGAATACATGGATCGGGAATTGTCGTCCTAGTTATACTCTGCAACTATCAAGCGGACAAAATCTCACCCATTCCTCTAATAATAGCATAAAGCTAGATGGATCTACATTTCTGCTTGATGAGGAAGCAAACAATCATGTACACATCAAAATGCAATCTTGTTCTGAGGTATATCAAGATTCAGTCCTTCATAATTTATAAGAGCAAAAAGAATATAACTTCCTGAAGTCTACCCTTCGTTATATCTAATTGATACTTAATGACCAGATAAAAGGAATAGAAAAACCACACATGATAGATACATCAGATGTCTTGCCAAGGACAAAGAAAGAAATCATATTGCAAATATCAAGCTAAATACAAGTTTTCAATCACATTATTGACAAGAACCAAGTCATCAGATTCAGGTCTACGGTCAAGTGTCCCAAAACCAGACTACCTCTTTCCTCTCTCAAGGGCACAGAAGAACAAAAAATGAAACACATAAGCTTGTCTTCCATATTGATCTTAGATGCCCAGCTTGTCACAGTACATCAAACTAAGAATAACCACCAGCGTTCATCTTTTCCCCCTTGATGTGCTTGACTAGAATTGTTTATTAGTCAAAAAAATTTTTAATTTTGGAAAAGTAATTCTCAGTCTTTAAGGATTATCGGAGATTTACAGGAACCAACCAACAATAACCAGAATATTCTTGGATAATATGCTATTCTTGCCTTAAATCTGGTATAATGAACTAAAAGCTGGATACCATCTGACTGAGATTATCTTCTCATATTCAAGTGCAACAGACAGCATGAAACCAGAAGTTGCAAATGTAGCTCCATAGCTTATAACCAAGTATAAACTTGGGCAATGACTTCAAAGTCTGAACTCAGAGATCAACATTTACCCTACCAATCGGCTGGATGAAATTTAATCAAAGAAAAATTGTAACTCGCACATATGAGAAGGCAGGACAGTAATTAAAAAGGGCACTAAAGAAAACAGAGTACAGAGGAACGATAACAATTGATCTGCACCCAATTACTTCCGCCTCACCCTGTAGTTAGAGTCAATCTGTGATTTCAACTCTTTATGAGCAGCAAAGTTGTACCAACATACACAGCAAACTTTCCATTATTGCCTCTAGAGAAGAGCTACTAGCTCTATGTCTGACTTGTTTTAGCTCCTAAGAAATGCATCTAGAATTCAGACAAGGCATTAACAGGTTGGCCCATTTAGTCAACGAGGCAAGTTCTGAAATGATTCCATACTTTTCAAAGAGGAATTGAGGTTATATTTCACCACAAGAATGTAAAAGGAACAACACTTGTTCTCCTTCAAATGAAATCTATGTTGAAAACAAGGATACCACCTCTAATGGGAAATCCCAAAAACAAAAGAATGATTATAGCAATAGGAGGTGGAGTATTAGTCTAATGAAATCATAAATATTGATAAATAAATCCCCCACAACTACCTAGCAAAATGTAAATTCACCAGGAAAGAAAAAGGAAAAGAACTTGCAAGGAAAGCAATGAGAGCGAAAGCAGTAAATTGCTATCTTTGCTCAAAGACTTTGAAGCTGCAGTTACTACACGGATTGGTGAGGCAAATTTATAAGAAAGAATCTCTCCTTTGATTACGAGTGCAATAAGCTAACTCATGCATAAACCACAAACCTGACTAGATGTCTGGCTTATTGAGCTGCCAGTATCAGTTTTATGATTTAGCTGTGAATTTTTATTCTGCACTTCAACAACAGAATTTAAAGTTGGAGATGCATTTGAAGCTTCAACATGAATTCCCATTCTTGAGGTATCCACACCCACAGCTGAACTTATGGGAGCTTGCCCCACCAAAGGAACTAAGGGAGCCCTTGGGATTGACATAGGAACTCCTTGACCAGGATGCCCAAACACCTGAAGGTTTGATCCAGCTAAGCCTTGGAAACCAGAAGATCCAGAAATAGTTGGAGAAGGGAAATGTGCTCCTTGCATGGGCGGTAGAGGAAATATCGGAAATCGTGGAGATCCAGAATTCAAGTCTAGCATTCCCATCCCATAACCCATTCCCATGCCCATTCCACCAGCCATGGGAGGAAAATGTGGCACATGAGCAGCGTGCATGTGTTGTAATCCGGTTGGAAACATCATTGGAGGCATGCACAATCCAGCTCCCATTGACATCACCTGGATAAAGAAGAGAAAAGCAAGCACTATAATTATTTCAAGGACATTATTAGAAATTCAAAAAGAAGAAACAACAAAACAATTCATCCAGCATCTTCACCACTGAAACGGCCAGGTTTCATAGAGTTTAGCCTTTGTATGGACATGACTCCTTGCATCAATGCCACCCGGAATAACACTAAAAAGTACTTTTTCGGGAAGGAAAACAAAAAGAAAAAGAGCCAGCTTGTGCATATAGTTCCAAAGGTTTAGCACCTATATATCCTTTCATGAACCCATACACGGTAGGACCAACCAGGTGTATCTTCAATTTCATCATGCAGCTTCCTTTAGCCTTCTCCCACACAAAACTTCTCCAAGAAAATAAAGTGAAATAAATAAGCTAGCCTAGAAACATAGACAATTAGAATAAACTAGCAACAGCAATTTTTAGTTATGCAAGGTCTATTATACACTTTAGACTTCTATGCCGGAGGGATAAATGTAGAACACAACAGAAAATAAACCACCGAAATAATAGTAGAAATAAAGTCATAAAGGACCCTATTTCACCTTACCTGTACTTGAAGTTGAAGAGTCTTTAAGTACTCAATGGCTTCATCAAGCATCGAAGCTTTGTCAGCCTAGAAAATGAAGATAGGCATCCCAAAAAAATTATACACAAGAAACAAAGAACAGAAAATTCTTATTTAATTGAAACTTGGAGTTCTAATCTAAATCACTAAGATTTGCAAACCAGTTTCGGTTCAATAGCAACATGGTGAGACTGGAAAAGGAAACTAACATCTTGCAATCAGAAAAGCATTAAGTGAGCTCATAATATACTAAGGCTCACATTAAAGCTTCTATTTTTTTATAGATGCGAAGTATACACAGTATGCTAAATCAAGTAAAAACATTTCTTGACGACATACTTCGAGTCATAGGACAGAATGTTGGGTAATGTAGATCTTATTCATATATCATCATATACTCCATACATATATATATTTTCAAAAAGAGGTATACACATTACAGATGCACACAAAGTTTTTTAAAATAAGAATACAGTTCTCTTTACACATTGAATCAAAATTTATCTCTGTTGGTTCTTATCTGCAAGTGATTATGTACTGAGCTGTTAGCAGCATCAGACAGATAGTGAGCATATAAGCAAGAGTTTATATCTATAATTACCTTATTGCAGTTGGGTATAAGTTCTTGCAATGCACGCATCTTCTCATTAATCCTATCTCTTCGTCTCTGTTTGCAATTATCAATAAAGGGATCAATAAGTGAGACACACCAACATGAAGTCATTATTGTCAGAAATTTGTTTTCCTCACCCTCTCAGACAGATTATGCACTTCCGCAGCTCGGCTTCTCTTTGAACCAGAAACACCCCTTGCATGAGCTACTTTTTTTATACCCACAGATTCTTCTTCAATTTCCTGCATGTCAGGTGTTTAATTTCACTATACCTATCACTAGGGAGTAAATCAGTAAGCGTTTACAAATTGGTTGGTCAGTGTTATGTCTTACTTCACTTCGTGATTCAGACTCCTCGTTATCACAATGTTTTCTCTTCAGTGTATGCATCTGATCGTTTGAAGCTCCCTCGCCACTATTTGCAGAGCACACAGAGGAAGCAGCAACAACAGGTTCAACAGGATTCTCACTGTCTTTCACTTCTTTAGTGATGCTAGAACCAATTATCGGGCTCGAGGACTTATCATTCTTAATTGAATCATCCCAGTGCAAATTATCAGGTCGATGAGCACTGCATGACTCCTCAGGTGGCTTATCAACTGATGGTCTGGAATCTACCTTGGTCGAGACCAATTTAGGTTGGTTATGGACGCAAATATCCTTCTGGGAGTTACTAGATGGCTTATGTGTAGATTTGACAGGACTACTACTACTCACCGCAGAGACCTTTTCAATACCTGATGAACAGGAAGCAGCTACGCCATCAGTTTTCTCAAGATTAGCTCTAACAAGAGCAGCTGGTCTTGAAAAATGGGTAAAATTCAAAAAATTGGATGCCCCCACTTTTTGATTCTGCATCTTCATGCTAACCAAACCACCTGGGGAAGCTTGACCTTGACCTGTATCTCCAAAAAATGTAACTGGATTGTTGCTTGTGGTATTCATAACTACACTTGAAACTCCCGATCCTGCAGGTGCAACAGATAATTGGCATTGCTGCGATGAGTATGGACTCAACAAACCCGTCCTTGAAGAAGAAACCTTTGATGCATTCCTTGCCTCTATATCTAAACCATTATGCACCGGAACTGCATACGAATGCTGGGGCATTTGATTGCAGCTTCCCTTGACCACTAATCCGAAGCTGTTAAGGGCGGATGTCTCATTACCAGTTACACCAGATATTTCTGGTAAGATTTCAGAGCAAAAATCTGATCTAAAACCATCATCTACAGGATAATTCAACCACGGCCCCATCTCATCTTCTTGATTCAAATAAGTCTCTCCTGATCGCACTGATGGCATAGCATCATTCAAGGTAGACCCAATCTCAATAAACTTCCCAACTTTTGAAGTGCTGACATTTCCAGTGAACCTATCTCGAATTCCAGGCTCCTGTGATGGAAAATCATTCAAATTAGGGCTCTTCTTAACCCTGTTAGACTGACCCTGCATCAAAATCTGACCATTTTCCCACAGTAGCTCAACAAGATCATTTTCAGTTCTGCAACCATATACACCAATATCATACAACATGTAACAAACAATACACAGAAAAAAGGGAAAGAAATCATCAATTTGTTTCAAACACAAAAGTATGCAACCTAGAAATAAAAACAATAAGATGTAATAGTGGATCATTTTCCTAAATAAAATGAAAGTCTGCTTACGCTGGAGATAGATCGGTAGAAGATGCAGTTTTCGGTTGGGCAGATTCAAGCTTTCCTCTGGCCATTCTCAGGAACTCAGAGAGGGGCATGGTGAAAAAACAACACAACTCCCACTCAGAAATGCAAGAAATTCATTAACTTGGACAAACTGGAACACCTGCACACCCTTGATCTTGTCAGAGAACTAAAATCCCCAGAACAAAAGAACCCCTTTTGAAACACAAAAAGTGTGAACATAAAGCACTTCAGCAAAGTTCAACCGACATTAAAATGGAACACATAAATCCAAATAGCACGACATCAACAAATGACGTTACCCCACTACTACAAGACAATTTTAGTTGCATATAAGCAGATAAATCCAATATACAAGATACAGATACGAGTGCTTAATACACCAGAAAAAATCACAAGCTTACATAAATTACATGTGGTTTATACTAATGTCTCGATCAATAAAAGTACATAAAAATCCAGAAACAGCATTAAAAATATATTAACCAGTCAAACCAATTCTTTAATGGAAGCATAAGCTACTTGATAACCAACTATTTGAGCTTCTTTACCATAAAAAATTCAATCTTTTAATTGAAACTCAATCATTAGAAGATAAAACCACACGAGATTGCTAAATTAATTAACAACCCTCAATTCTTTATCAGTTAAAGGGAACCAAGTAGCACTAATCTTAAAGAAAAAAGAAGAAAGAAGAAAAAACCCACCTCTTAAAAATGAACTCCAAGTCCAAGCCTCACTCACCTCACCAATCTCCAAGAAGGGGAGGATTTTCAGAACCCATTAGTCCAATCAAAATCATTAACGAGATTTCAACTTTATTATTAAACAAAGTCTTAAAAATCTCGAAAGATTATCACATCCACTAATGAGCTGTGATAATTCTCTTGAACCCACCAATATTTTGTAATCCACATGCCTTCAAATAGCTTCCCAAAAAGTACAGTCTTTACACGCCCCACTTGGTTTTGAGCTCCAAGGACAAAAGAAACGTACTTGCTGAATACTAAGGTTGTGTTTGGATTGTATTTTTCGTTATTTTTCATGGAAAAATTACTGTAGCGATTTGATGTATGTGAGGGAAAAAGATGATAGGGAAATGTGATCACGGAAAATGATGTAATTTTTCGACGAAAACTGGCAATCCAAACAAAGCCTAAAATAATATGTTATATACTACATTAAGCGGAGATTGATACAGAAAGAGAAACAGAGGATTCAGAGGGCTCGTAGAAGTCGGCGAAAGGCATGGGTATTTTGACGCTGGCCGAAGGAAGAAGCAACACAAAAATGCAAGTAAAGAGTAGAAACAGACTAACAGTAACAGTACGAATGAAGAAACAGCTCAAGGCTTGGCCTTTTCTATATTTTTCCTGCTCTACAAAACAATGAGTTGGTCATTTTTTAACCATAGTTAGTAAAAGCACCTTGAAAACTCAACCGTTGTTAAAAGTTCCTTATCAAGTTTTTTTCCTTTTTTTTTTTTGGCTTTGTTATTGGCTATGTCTTGATAATCTCAAAACTAATCACCTCCCAACTTGGTTAAGCTCACAACTCTTTGAACTTGTGCCTGGTTGCATTTCTTAAATTTGATTTTGTTACCTACTCAACTCTCATAGCTCTTGTGGAATCTCCAACTAAATTGCTTCCTAAATTTAATAGCAATCTCGTAAATTTTGATTTTTTTGACCTTTCAATATCCGTCACACGCCTTATAATTCTCAACTAAGGACGTGGATATCATTCATAAGTTAAATAGCCAAATCAATCAATAGAAAATCATTTATAGATATGTAAATATTTGAATGTAATATTTTTAACATGTGATTCTCGACATAACTCGCATCTATAAATTCATATACGCGTATCGTCCATAAATTAATAGCCAAATCAATCAGTAGAAAATCATCTATAGATGCGTAAATATTTGAATGTAATATTTTCATCACGCACGTAGTTCTCGACTTAGCTCGTATGTATAAATCCATGTTAGCAATAACACGATATTATGCATTTGTTACAAAATTGTACGTATTATTTTTAAAGAATTGCTTACAATCTTTTCAAAAGGTAACTCAAAGTAACTGTATAATATCTTCCAATCGAGGTGCCTGATAGCCATTTTGCACTGGAGTGCTTTCTGTTTCCCAAGCAAGAAAGAAAAGAAATCATTTAATAAAAGTACTATAGTGCTTTATGTCGTCGTACATGAGCTAAATTTTGTATAGGTCAATGCGGGCACCACAAACATATATGTTTAGGCTTAATGGGTGATTATGACTTCTCAATCTTCATTATCCTTTCTCTAAAAGAGCAAACCACCTTTTTTTTTATTTGTTTTGTTAGTTCTGGTTGGCCTTTTCATTCATGTTTAATCGAGAACCCGTAGTTTCAGAATGGTTTCAAATCAACGTTTCTGGACCATCAATATTGGTTTTGTGGAAATATGACATGGCCATATTCGTGTCAATTTTTGGATGCCCTGCCCAGCTTTTGTAGTTCTGTCAAGAAATGACATAATTTGGGATTCAATGAAAACTTGACATAATTAGCTGATTGTCCGGTTTTATGTGACATTAATCATCTGACACTACTCTTTCTTTGTGGAGATATCACATAATATGGTGGTAAAAACAAAAGATTTCAGGTTGCATCGGTTGAGAAGATGATGGTGATTTGATTTTCTAACCACTAGCGAGCAGTTGAACACTTGAAAATATTGCCCTTACAAAAATATTTCAATTGTATTACTCCAAGTTTGTTTTTGATTGATAGGGAATTGGTTGAGACACTCTTGGCTCGACTGCGCTCATGACTTTTATTTTCTTAAAATTAAAATTTGAAATCTGAATTCATTAAACTATTGAATTATAAATACTGAAATGTTAACATTTGAGTGCATTCTACATTTGCATTAAGTGATAAGTGAACAGTTTATCATTTTTTTTTTTAAAAATAAGCATTGCCTACACAATTCAGACCTACTTAATTAATTAATTAATGTACTATTTTTTGTTATCAAACACGAATATGCTAATATCTGAATCCATTAAATGTAAATATTGAATTGGATTATCAAGCCTGACCTTAAAGTATCTCTTAGATAAACGGAAAATAATAATTTAAAAAGAAAAAGAAGAAGAAGAAATTCTAGTTCATTTAGTCGAAGGTTTTAATGGATTGTGTAGCTTCTAATTTATGGTCCTTTAGCTTTACAACTTGAGCCCTAAACTCGGATAAGAAAAGAAATACTACTACTACTATAAAATTGATTATGACGGCTTGGATTAGAAATAGAAAGCAATAATAATGTTTTTAGGAACGAGTCTGTAGTCTTCTACTACGTACGACATAATAATAGTATTACATTTTTGGTAAGGTGCAATGTAATGTGTCTGTGTTCTCTGTATTTTGAAAATTTCGTCACCTCCTCCATTGTTTAACTACTTTTATTTTTTTTTTCCTCTTTTTTTTCTTTGTTGTTATTCAAAGAATTTAGTATATCTTATCCCAGATCTTTGATCCACATTTGGCACCATTATGACATCTGGAAATATTGTGCCAATATCTCTTTAATTATACGTGGGACTACATGTTCTTATCCTCTTTGATCTCCTCTCTTGTATTAAATTAAGCTTTTAACCAAAAAAAGATTAGGTTTTTGTGGGACAAGTCTAGTCATTGATTTGCTCATGATGGGTTTTTATGATTCTTCTTTCCCTCAGATATTGGACACACTACTCTATTTGAGCACCATTCATCAATATATAATGTCCGAACAATAGAAATATTGGTATGAATATTTTTTTCTCATCTTTTAAATTTTATCCTTATAAAAATTCCCTGATTGTACACACATTAACACTAGTGTGTGTGTGTATATATATATATATATATATATAACAGTTTATATATGCAAAATTAATTACAGACTGTGTGTGTCACTAATACTTCTCCAAACATTAGTTAATCTCGTATTAGTCTAAAACAAGATTTAGAAGTATGGAGCACAAACTTTTAAATTTCACGACCCTTTACACATGTTCCATTAGCAGATTTCCAAGATCCAGTCAGCCGGTGCCTAAAAGTATTTGTTTCTAGTGACTTTTATAATTTTGTGTTGGAGAAGGAAACAAGTAACGAAAGATGCAATCATTTTCGACAAATTGTTACCATATAAACCCACACAATCATATTAAAGGAAAGAAAAAAAAAAAAAAAAAGAGTCAAGAACAACTTTAATTAAGCTGACTAAACCGTCATAACTGCTCTTTGTCTTAGCAAAACATCCTTAAACGAGCCATAAGCGGCTTTTAATAGACAGCATTATTCATTTAAAAGTGATTAGGGACAAATAATATCACTGCCTTTTGCTTTCTTAGATGTTCGTAGGGCCCAAAGAAGTCATCTAATTACTTAATTGATGTGGATAATGTATAGTATTTGACAGACTAATTTTCAAATGCTATGAGATACCTAATACTAATTAAGAACTGTACAAGTCATTAGTTTGATTATGGCTATAGATTTGGACAGTTTAGAGATTCATAATTAAAGTGCCTAGCTAGATCTTCCTCCGTCGTTTTTATAGTTGGCACAAGAAGCTAACAAAGAGGATTTGTCTTCTCCTAATTCTTCCCTTTTTAATATTATAACAAAACCACCATTTCTAATGAAGAGACCAATTCAGAACCTAGATGTGAACTTTTGCTGGCTGGCCTGCACTCAACTGATTTTGATTTTTTTAAAAAGCCAAAATCAGAATTTGAAAAGCAAGTGTTGTGTAACTTCTGATTTTAGATCTAGAAAAAGCTGAAAATTGAAAGAAAAAGTAATTTAAAATATCTCATAATTAATTTTCTAAAATCAGAAGCTAAAAGTAGGTCCAAAAAATTAGTGAAAAACAAGGCTCGAGTTACTATAAATTTCTTGTTCATGCATGAAAAAGGAATACTTATCAAAATTTTGGACCATTGATCGATCAAGCTCACTTGTTTGAACTCCATTATTTATCTCTTAGGTCTTGCTACTTGCCCCCCTTGAGTTGGAACTTTCCTAAACAACTTCTTAATCAACTGATTATTGCTTTACTAATTAAGGGGAGAGATAGAGAAATTACTCCTCACTCTTCTCTCTTCTAAAAGGATGAAAGACGCAAAAGTTCGACTTAATTACCAATAACGTTGACGAGACGAGTCTAAAATTTTTTATTCGACCTTCAAACTCTCGAGATTTAAAATAAACAGTAGCTGCATGCCTACTGTCTACGAGTACTCTTTCGAACATGTTCAGTCGATCCTTCTTCGAGGCCTCAATATTCTGTTCAACCCCTGTCATAATAGATACAGGATATACTTGACAAGCTGGCCGGGAACTGGAATTACTCGCTCTTGGCTCCACTCATGTATTGTACTGGAATGAGATTGATGTCACTGGGCTTTTAGTTCTAGCAAATAATGGTCGGACACGACTCAAAAAAACTGAAGCTACGTATCCAATGGAATTGGAGATGTCCACCTGGACCCTGCCTTGAGCAAGCAAGTGATTTGGTGGAATCTAAGAGGACCCCTCCCCACTCTCCGGTCCATGCATCATGTGGAGCAGCTGTTTGCAGCGCAAGCCGGAGGTGGCCCTTAATTTGGCTCCATTTCCTCGTCCTCATCCCAAAATCCCTGGAAAATGTTTCAGGGTTCTTTTGACTTTTACATCAATATCAAGATCAAACAATCTGGATGTGGGGAAAAAGATTGGCTAAAGTGAAGAGGTCAGGTGTGGGATTTCACGTGCAACTGGGCAATCCCCGTGGCTTCTTTGCTTCTGTGTCTCGTTCAGTCCCTTGTCTATCACCACCATGCATCATGACCCCTTTGTTTGAGCTTGGGCTTCGTCAAATGAATATCTGTACTTCTTTCTGGATTCTCTTCGTACTGATCGATGAGAATTCATACATTTGTTTTGACTTATGCCTGCACATATAGTATCCTGGCTATTCCTACCTGCTTAGTTTGGTTGGTTGTTTGGCAATCCATGAAAGTTGGAAACCAGCCATGCACGGAGGAGGAAAAGTCAAGCCAGAGATT